AAAAAGAAAATTTATATATATGGTTATTTATATCTAATTACAAGGTTTGAGAGATGAAAAGTGGCTTAAGCTAGTCACATTAGGGATCTCTTTCACTTCTCTTTCTGGCCTTCCTGTCTCTCTCTCTCATTGATTGTATTTGTATATTTTTATGGCTTTCGGAGAGGGGTGGAGATCCCTACAACCCATCTCCGAAAGCCATAAAAATATACGAATAAAATCAATAAAACAACTAAACAGATTTTACGCCTATACCAAAAGAAACATTCATTTATCATTTGCATGCCATATTTTTCTACACACAAGACTAAATTTGTGGTCCTTCAACGTCTAGGCCTGTCTAAATCATAATGCTGACCCTCTTCTATCTAACTCGTCTAACTAACAAAAGCTTATAATACCCAATGGGTTTTATTTATAATTAATTTATATCTAGATGTATATAAATAATAGTAACGACTTTTATATAGATTTACAATTAATATTTTACATCCAACTAAGTTAGAAAATAAAGAATTTTATGTACAGTTAATGACTTTAAATCAAGCTTCATCTAAATGATTATAAACAATTTTATAGACAGTTAATTTTATATCCGACTACAACAAATGATAACAAATATTAACTATACACAAATTATAAATCGATAACAAATACATTTTTACATGTATTTACGTTCTAAATTACGATTAAACTTTACATCAATAGTTAATTTTATAATTAAATAAGTCGAAACGATAATAAATATGTTTACATAGAACATAATTATGTATAAGTATTAACAAGTATTACATTTTATATTCGTGTAATTATTAATGATTTTAAAATTGGAATTAAATATTTGTATAATTAATTAATTAATTCAGAGATTTTTATAAAGATAAAGGTATAAAGAAAATTATTTTAAGAAATTTTTTTCCTATTTTATACTTAACTAAAATTAGTTATATAAAAATAAAATTTAACTTTCGATTCTACAAGAGAAAAAAAAAACAAATAATTTTTACTTTTTACTTATCAGAAAGAGAGATCTTTAAGAAAAAATTTAAGAAAAGAAAAAAAAAATATATATATAACAGTATAAAGTAGAAATTGCTTAAGGATAATTGAAAATTGTCTTTTATAAATTTTTTTTACCCCCTTTTCGTAGTATATAACACGATTAATTTTATTTATATTTGTATTATTTAAATTGTAAAAATATCTTCATTTCGTTCTTGTACTTAATAAAATCAAATTCTTTAAGTCAACTTAAGTTTCTCTACTGTATACATAGACGACTTTATTGTTTTGTTTATCCACCTTAATTTACTTATGTAGATCCTTTAGAATTTCGTTCACGAAAACGTTCTTAATTAAAACAATTAAGACTTGGAAACGCTTATCGAATTGACTGAAGCGTGTATAGCTTTTGGGAGCTATGTATCTTTCCTCTGTCACTGACACTAAGTTGAGCATCAAGGAGGTCTCTTCCAGTCGAAAACAACGGGTTAAATACTTCAAAAAGGTAAAATAATTTAAGTAAAAAAAAGAAAAAAGTAAAGAATTTCACTAAAGTTAAAAGCTGGGGAATGTTTTTTTTTACTGTCTGTTTATTTTTTTTTTTCTTGTGTGTATATATGTATCTGTATAAGTAAAGGAGTATAGTCGAGTCAACTTTTCGTTTAATCTGTTTTAAAGGGATTAATTAAGGAAAGAGCATTTGTACATAAATCAACTTTGTCCATTAGATGCCTTGTAAAGTTTATGCTTTAACGTTAAAATTCATCCCCAGATACCACTAATCGACTATGTGAGGTGAAGATGGCGTGTAAACACTTCTTTACGGTATTTATCACGTGTCGATGCATAACGTATACAACTTCTATAACATGTTTTATTTATTTATTTATTTATCTATTAAGAATTAAAAAAAAGGAAAAAAATTTTTTTTAAATATATATATACACCCGCACGCTCGCATCTACATAATTATTCCTCTTATGTTTTGTCAATATAAAAGAGAGAAAATCTTTCAAAACTTGTATTACATAATACGATTTATAGTCGATATATTATTCTCAAGAGATGTTTTTGATGATGGCTAAGGGTTGAAAATTTAACATACTGAAATATTGCGGACATCGCATAATTTAAAATCACTGTTTATAGGTCAACAGAGGATTCATTTAGCGAATGTACACACCTAAACCTGCTTTTGTTGATATATTTTGTAAAAGTTTGATAGGCAAAAAAAATATATATATATAACAGTATAAAGTAGAAATTGCTTAAGGATAATTGAAAATTGTCTTTTATAAATTTTTTTTACCCCCTTTTCGTAGTATATAACACGATTAATTTTATTTATATTTGTATTATTTAAATTGTAAAAATATCTTCATTTCGTTCTTGTACTTAATAAAATCAAATTCTTTAAGTCAACTTAAGTTTCTCTACTGTATACATAGACGACTTTATTGTTTTGTTTATCCACCTTAATTTACTTATGTAGATCCTTTAGAATTTCGTTCACGAAAACGTTCTTAATTAAAACAATTAAGACTTGGAAACGCTTATCGAATTGACTGAAGCGTGTATAGCTTTTGGGAGCTATGTATCTTTCCTCTGTCACTGACACTAAGTTGAGCATCAAGGAGGTCTCTTCCAGTCGAAAACAACGGGTTAAATACTTCAAAAAGGTAAAATAATTTAAGTAAAAAAAAGAAAAAAGTAAAGAATTTCACTAAAGTTAAAAGCTGGGGAATGTTTTTTTTTACTGTCTGTTTATTTTTTTTTTTCTTGTGTGTATATATGTATCTGTATAAGTAAAGGAGTATAGTCGAGTCAACTTTTCGTTTAATCTGTTTTAAAGGGATTAATTAAGGAAAGAGCATTTGTACATAA